TTGTATATTCCATCACGATAATAACAATTACCATTCAATAATAGAACAGTCATCGACCTACTTGCAGTGAAGTGAATCTAAAATGTATTCATGAAGTTATGATGATCTGAAGTGTTTAAAAACGTACGGTACACAATAATAGTTGAACCAACTTTAAAATACCACAAATACAAATGTGCGTGACGATATTTTATTGCTTTAGAAATGTGATTTCAAAAAGTGTATTAGTGAATCACGCACTGAGTATTCAATACAGGTTGGGCAAAATACATATAGGCCCCCTAATTGATTCTCCTGACGCAAATCCAGGTATTGTCTATTCCATCACGATGATAACAATTACCATTCAATAATAGAACAGTCATCGACCTACTTGCAGTGAACGGAATCTAAAATGTATTCATGAAGTTATGATGATCTGAAGTGTTTGAAAACGTACACAATAATAGTTGAACCAACTTTAAAATACTGTACCACAAACACAAAATGTGCGTGACGATACGGTATTGTATTGCTTTAGAAATGTGATTTCAAAAAGTATATTAGTCCATCGTATACGTAAGGGCTTGTATTGTTGTTTTTTTTTTTTTTACTTGCAGCGTTTGGGAAATAGGTAGGCCTAATAGGTAAATTGTAATGAATATAATCAATGACTATAGCCTCTAAAACCTAATATTATTGAAGGGTCCTTTTAAAGTTTGAATAGGATTTTTTAAAGTTACATTTTTAGATCATTATACCTATTGAATGAGCCCCCAATAGCCCCGGGCCCCAGTGCTGTGCATTGACTGCACTGCATACCTACGCCACTGGACCTGAGTATTATTAATGGTTACATAACGTTTGCTATGCACTGTATCATGTGCTATAGAAGTGGAAGACCATAATGTATTGGGAATGTACCGTACCTCTCTCTCTCAATCAGTTTAAAAGTGTAAGGTATAGGATAGTGTGGATTTAAAAAAAATTTTCTAATGGTAATGTTCAAAATAAGTGTCAAGGAAAGTAAGTATGATTTGTTGGAAAAATTTTTATTTTGAATTCTCCCCCTGACCTTCGCTTGGGCGAAGTGGGCGAAGGTCTGGATCCGCGTCTAGTTAGCATGAATTTTGTAAGCCAGGACCCATAGTGTTTTGTTACGTTTCTTCACAGAGTGGGGGGAGGGAACGAACCCCCACCCCCGAACCCCCTGGATCCGCCACTGTGATTAGAATCAAATATAGAATTTAAGCTAACAAAAACAACACATCCAAAACAAGTTTTTTATATTATGCCTGTATTGAAAAAAAAAATGTAAATTCAAAAATTCGGCCAAATATAATTTGGCCGTCACTTTTCAAACATTACGGCCAGGCAAATTTTTATACGGCCAGATTTGAGGAATCTGGCCGTCAAAAAGGCCAAATGGCAACCCTGAACGGTAGTCACTTCTTAGCTTAGCGGTCACAACAGCGAGGTTTTATGAATATGTATTACCACAAACCGTTCGACACGCTCGATCGCTTTATCACTTAATGCATAATTTTTAAGGTAACTAGGCTGCCGCGAAACTTTAAAATGTTGTCATGTATCGTTCTGTTACATGCGAGACTTCCCCAGGAATTATGAAGATGAATTCCGAGGACGATGGCGATTTTATTTCAACAAAACGTAAATACAGTGCAGACAGTAGGAATAATAATATTATTATCGTAATGGTGAACTCTGAAATTGAAGTGGCACACGCAATTTCAGCGTATGAGAAGGAAACAATTTCCAAATGTGTCATTGAACACATTGACAAAGCATATACTAAATAAGGTAGGGATTCAATATTAATTTCGACATTAATTATGTCATCATCAGGAATGAAAAATTATCCATATTAGCAAGCTTATATGCACTAGTACCAAAAGTGTTTAACCAGTCAAAACATTACCTCTAGTAGGTGACATTGTAGTGATTTAAACAAAAAATCAAAGCATTCTTACTCTAATGATCAAAGATACCATCATAATTAATGTCGAAATATTGAATCCCAACACGATGGCGTGTATTTCAATACTTAGAGTATGTATTATACTTTCTTATCTGAGATTAATCAGTGCACCTTTCGGTTTTAGTAGTATAGCATACTGTAAAACCTCGAAAAAAAAAAACGGGCTTCTAATCAAGATACGGGCTTTTTCGACAAGGTTCCGGTAGATCAATGGGGAAGGGGTTGGATCCTTTGACCTAATTCAACAAGGTATTAAACTCTGGAATCGTTGAAGAGGTCCAGGGTTATATAAAAAGTTACAAATGCTGGGTATTTCGGACTAAAATCGTACATAATTTATATTATAATTTGCACTTGTCAGACTTTTAGAAATGCTATATATTTTTCAACGGCCAGTCACTACTCATGTCCAGTCACCAACACCACCACGATAAATTATATGTCCCACGAGGACTTTGGTATTTATCTTAGCCTGCTTCGGGCAAGTACAATGCTTAGTGTGAGTACCTACACAAATACATACAATTCGAGTATGCGTTTGCTCTACTTTTATTTTACAGTTTCATAAAATTCAAACATTTAAATATTTTTTTTATTACTTGTTACGTTATTAATGCATACATGTAAATCAAATTATCATTTTATACCATATAAATATTTTCATATTATAATGTTCTTTTCATTATTTGCCAATTCCAAACAAGATCAAAGGGGCAACGCATGTGAAAAGACACCGGAACAAATAGGTCTTATTGTATTATGTTAATAATAATAATAATAATATGTCGCTCTTATATAGCGCTTCATGCACAACTTCCCCTCTCCACGGTTTTTACCGGGCTAACCAAGCCGTCGTACCGGACTGGGTAATAAGAGAGGGGAGAGGGAGGGAAAGAGAAAGAAGAGGAAAAGAAAAGGAAAGGAAAAGAAAAAGAGAAGAGAAAAATAAAGACAAGAATAAAAAGGAAGATCATAATGACCAGACTCACAACACCCTGCAACCCCTTCTCCACTTCAAAAACTATCATAACTCCTTTATGATCTATGCTGCCCGATGGCGTAACCACTGGGGGACAAGGGGAAAATATCTACCTTTGGAAAACCTTCCCCACCCCTTTATAAATGCCCTTTTCATCCCCTGAAAGTGCCTAAAAACCTAAAATTTCTCGCGCTTCGCGCGCATTTCTTGTTAACATGGGCCGATTTCCTCTAAGAATTGCACATTTTAGGGAGTTTTGATCAATTCCAACGAAATTAGAATTAAAAACACCAGGGACAAGGGGAAAATATCAATTTTTGGAAAATCTTTCCCCACCCCTTGACAAATGCATCCTCTGAATTAAAGTGCCTAAAATTCTCAAATTCTTTGCGCGCATTTCTTATTACGGTAGGCCAATTTCCTTTATAAATTGCACATTTTAGGGAGTTTTCATCAATTCCGACGAAATTAGATTTAAAAGCACAAAAATATTTTTTTGTGCTTTTAAAGGTTTATCCTTTTAAGTTATTTAAACAGTCCCAAACTCAATTGCAAGAAAGACAAATTTAAGATAGATCGTTTTAACCTAAAAGAAGGGCCTCAATGTGTATTGATGGTTAAAGAATATGATTGTAATAAATAAAACCATGATGAAAATGCTTATATTTAGTTTCAAACACAGGTGTGTGGCCTATATTATAAATAAGATAAGCCCTATGTTGTATCGTTTTCTATATGGGGAGTGGGGTGGGGTGGGTATGGTAAATTACTAACCGGGAAAATAAATACCCACTCTGACCCAAGACCCCTGTTACGCGCCTGGTGTTAGCGTCAATGTGTGCCCTTGTGCGGACAGTGGATGTGCCCCCCTCTGAAGCTGGAAACCTTGTTTTTGAAAAATAAATTGATGCAATTTGCTATTATAGACCTAATCAATAACTTCTTCATCAACCGATATAAACTCAAACATTCTTGGAATTGACATACATTACTGATGTCGTACACACCCTTCAGTATGAAATGTGGCTCTCTTTGCAAGCACATCTAACATCTAAAGAAAGAAGAGCTTAGATTGGTACCAGATAAACTAATATTGTTATCAACATTAATACATTATGCTAATCTTCATCTTTGTAAGCGCATAATTATTTCTGTGACAGTCTTTTGAAGTGTGTAAAGCTCCATTTTATCCCATACATTGTCATAATATTGGGGGGGATGATACAATGGACCATTCCCCCTTGTCAAATATTGAGGGGATATATCCCATCACCCCCCCCCCCCACCGGGATCTACGCTTATGCAATGCATAAGCCACCGGAAAACAAATAGGTCTTATTTTATTATGTTACGATATATTGTTTTGGTTTCTTTTTATGTTCAGGTGAACTAGTATAGGTGTACTTAATAAAATAAAATAAAATAAAATCCAATGTCTGCGTTTACTGGGAATCTGAGCAAGTTAACAAAACTAAAAAAAAATAAACTAAATATCGAGCTATCAATGAAAAAGCGAAACTATAAAAAAAAATTAGCAATGTGCGAAGAAGTATGGACGTTATAGAAATTATAGAAGTTTTTGTGAATCTAGTTTCAACGTTGTTGTACAGTAAAAATAGTCAAGTCAAAAAGTATATTATTTTAACAACGAGGTGTTCATGTAGGTATAATCGGTCCCCGGCGAGGATTAGTATTAGGATTTATCTTCAACTTTCAACGTTACAATACTTTTTAGAATGACTTATATATAAAGGCATATATTTATATATATATATGTTTCAATTATATATATAATATAATTTAAACATTATATATATATATATTATATATATATAATTATTTAAACGTAACAGAAGATATATATGCGTGTGTGTGTTTGTAACAACAAACAGTAAATACATCTTGAAAACTGTTGTTTCTCTTCTTCTTTATTCTGCAAAAAAACAAACAAATGGTATACAATAGGAGCCAAGAAATAGAAAAGTCTAATCAAGCTTGGCCCCTTTCTTAACTCTCCCCCTCAGCCCCAATAAATAAAATAGAATAAAATAAATATATAAATAAAATAATGAAAATAAATAAATAGGCATCAATCTTCATACTCGGAATAAAGTAATTTTTTCAGTTTTGAAACAAATACATTCCTCGAGGTAGTCTCTCTTAACTTAACAGGTATTGTATTCCAGAGTTTAGCACCCATATAAGAAATTATAAATTTACCTTAATTAGTTCGGCATTTTGATATGGCTAAATTATATTCGTAATTAAACCTTGTTGCATAACTATGACAAATATTTTCAAAATAATCAGATAAACTATGTGGTAATCTGTTATTAAGTAAGTCTGATATAAAATTCAAAATATATAATTTATGAAGCTTAAATACGTCTAAAATGTTAAGTTTTTTAAATAAAGGTACAGAATGAGCCCTAAATTTAGAAAAAGTAATACATCTGGCACACATTTTTTGAGTGAGTAATAAAGGTTTTAAATGCGATTCGTAGGTGCTGCCCCATACCGCAATACCAAAAATCAAGTTGGGTAAAATAAAAGAATTGTAAAGCATAACTAATGTTTGCTCAGGGACACAGTGCCGTAACTTAAATAAAAAACCAGCTCTCTTTTTTATTTTATTGTTTAAATCAGATATATGTTCTTTGAAACTAAGGTATTTATCGAGTTTAACGCCAACAAAATAAACAGATTTACATTCAGAAATTAAGCTTGTATTAATCCTAATGGAGCCGAACGTTGTAACAACTTTATTTTTTGACTGAAAGATTACATAATTAGTTTTATCGGCATTTATTGTTAATTTATTGGCGTTGCACCACTCAATGACTTTTTTAAACTGACAATTAACCTCATTGAGATCTAATATATTCCCAGAAAATGATTTAAATAAGTTTGTATTGTGGTGTTATAAATAAATACATATACATACAATACAGTATATATGTATATACAATGACAATTGTATGTATAAACTATAAAATTTGACAAGAGGAAACACCAGTGGTTGATGAAAATAAAGATAATTCCTATTTGAATCATTACCTTAAAAAATCTCCAAGCTTACTACCGGGTTCGACAGGCCACAAATACATGACATATATCATAGTATATTGATACAGTAGTACATGACATATATCATAGTTTATTGATACAGCAGTATAGTAACGGCAGCACTGTGCTCCATTTCTCAGCTATTGTACATTCCCCTCAATTCGCTAAACACTTATGAATAATGCATAAGCCACGGTTCAAAAATGTAGCTCATAAATATTTATTTATTTTTTTATTTGAACATACACCTTTGAATCGGTGGCACTCAATATCAATTGGTGCGTTCGTACAAACAAAAACAAAAAAAGGGGGAAAATTTAACAAACAAAATAAAACACAATTTGATAAGCAACGATACATTTACAGTAAACTATTGTTGTGAATTTTTTAGTTGTGAGCGTTTCTCCCAAGCATTCATGATGTATTTTTTACAGAAATTATCAATATGCATAGTGAACCTCGCTGTTGTAACCGCTAAGAAGTGACTACCTTTGAGGACCAATATTTGGTCGATACCATTTATGTGTAGGTAATTACATTTATTTTCCAAATTTCGAAGAAATCTTCAGTGAGATCTGGTTACCCACTGAAGGCCGGTGCGGTGCTTCCTCCCTCCGTTCAGTCGAGTTCATGAAACAACGGCTAGAGAACCTGGAGTTTGTGGGTTCGATTCCCACACAAACCATTTTGTTCTTGTTCTTGGTTTTGTTGTTGATACCAAAACTTTAAAAGCATCCAGCGTCACCAGTTTTGAACAGATGTGAATGAAATTTTGTACAAAACTACAGGTGATTTCCAACAAACGTTCATTGCGCTTTTTTTAAGTTGGACCCCAGGGTTCCCCCTACACCTACAAAACAAAACAGCGGTTTCAAAATTTTAAAGCGTCCAGCGTCGGCAGTTTTGAACCAACGTGCGGGAAATTTTGTACACTTAATCTATAGATTTCCAAAAAAAAGTTCATCGCTCTCTTTTTAAGTTGGACCACAAGGCTCTGCCTACGCCTGCAAAAACCAAAACAGGGGGTCAGTGAGGTCCAGGGCGTATACAGCCTACTATAATAACACATAGGCCTAAGCGTGATTTTTAAAAATGCCCATGGGCTTCTTTTCAAAATAGCATAGGATTCTTTTCGAGATAGACTGCGCATTAATTTCACAACACACAATAAATTAAAAACAAGCTTGGTTTATAACAGTTGTTTAGGTAATATAATGCCAGTAAATACACTCCATGATAGAGATTGATGTAACAGTGGCCTTACTTACTATTTAATTGTAAAAATTCCCAAAATTTACAGCATTCATTTTGAAAAGAACCACCACCCTCCCCTCCCCCCTCTTCTTTACTTTGCAAAAGTAGCCTCGAAAACAAGCCCATCCAAAATTTGCAAAAAAAAGTCCAGGGCTTCAAGGCGCTTTATCTGGTAAAATTGGGTACCGGTATATACTGGTAAGGAAGAAAAACCCCACACCATTGCACAGTCTGAAAAGTGGGAGAGCTCTGATTTTGAATTACCATTACCATACACGAACAAATACAAATTTTATGCAAACAGCGGGATATTACAATGTGGTTTATTTATAGCTTTCTGAAATATTACATTTCCTTTCCCGATACCACTGATTCAAATTACATGAACATTTATGATGCAGTTTATTGTTAATAATCTGAACTCTGGCCACAATTTTTTCCTTAAAAATCACATCAGTGTTTAAGTTTACCACGTCCACTGACTACCGTACACAAAGTAACATATTTATTTTAATGTCCCAATTCTTCCCCCTGAAAATCACACTACTGATTTTGTATTTTGATGTATTCTATTACAGTAATAAAACCACTCAAAATCTAGGACTATGACAGCTGGTAAGAAACGCAATATAAACATGCTATGAAACAGTAATAATTGCTCTATGAAGGTGTTTACTAAATATTAACATAAATATTTAAATTTGTGTTTAAATTACATATTTGTCATATTGTCTGACATTTTCTGAATTATATACTTAACACTTACAATGTTTTTCAACAAAGGTACACATTCTACAATGTTTACACAATAATGACTTCCTATTAAATAAAAATGGGCCAAACAACCCAATCAAAAATTTTGAAATTCTAGAGTTGGTTCCTTTATTTAGGGCAAAAAAGACTTGGCCAAAATAACTGCATCAGGTCTTATTAAACTATAGTTAATAAAGTAAACATGAACTTGCCTAAGTCAAATCTAAAATGGCATTGGAAAAATTGTTCGACTTAGATAAAATTCAAATTACAGATGGTTAATTAATGGAAAACAACAATTTACCAAGTCGACTTCCACAATTCCAACTGTACTTTATACAGTTGAACTTGCCTAAGTCAAATTCAAAATGGCATTGAAAAATTGTCTTACTTACAAATTGCCAATTAATGGAAAACATAACAATTTGGCATCTAAAATAAGGTTGACCTATTACAAGTTTAACTGTATTTGAAAACCACAACTTTCAGCCATATGGTTGTCATTCTATAAACAAAAATGTATGGGGTGAGTGATGGTTGGTATTGAACCCTAGAACCGACAAAACTTTCAACACTTATTTCCACATGTTTCTGTGCTTGAATAGCACACAAGAATTATATATTGCCTTATAATAATGTGTAGGTCGATTGAGTTTAATTGACACAGAGTGAGTCTGACTACATAATGTAATAGTATCTAAATGCTTTGCATTATTTCTCCGGTCACTGTATCACTTACTTGCTGAACTCAAATTCAAAATTACAAGGGGCATTCCTGTATCAGCTAGTAATCGGCATATTTCTGATTTTTTTTTACTCCATATACAAAAAAAAGATAAGCTCAGCAAGTAGAGTCTAGAATCATGATAAAGTAAATGAAAAGTGATTCATAATTAAAATAAATGCCAAGGACACTAGCGTTTTCGACCTCCTCTCTCTTTTACTTGAAGTTGAACAATGCTGCCAGCACTCATGTTGTAGTATGCTAAGGAGTTGGAGTCCTTAATAAACAGGCCCTACAAAATGAATAAATTTAGTGCATTGAGATTAATAACATTTTTAGTTTTCATAAATGAAAATATGAATGAAAACATATAAAGCAGGAGGGCAAGTTGGTGAAGTGGTAAAAGTTGTTTTCCAGTAGGCAAATGGTAATTCAATTCTTGTAAAATTGTACAACTGTTTGCACATGGACTTAAATACGCACATCGCAGTAGGTTTTTGGCATGTGTGGTTCAATCATGGATAGAATCTGAAAAGTTTAATCGAATGGTGAATTGAATGGCTGAGCGGTTAAGGCAGGGGTGTCACAACCTACAGCCATAACATCTGCGCTGTCTCAAACGGCACGCTCGCCTATGATTCCGGAGGTGGAACAAGTCTTCTCGGATAAGGACTATAAATCGTAGGCCTAGTGTACCCATCTGGGTCATGTGCACTATAAAGAACCCAGTACATCTTTTGAGACGAGTAGGGGGTTAGGGGGTTACCCCGGTGTACTGGTCCATATAGACTCTTGTTGTGGACAGAGGAGAGTAGCTGGTACAAATTCACCGGCTACCTCAGACACGAAAAGACCATTAGGGGAGAAGAAAGTTACTGTACGAGATCCTGTAGTCCACGCTTTGAGCGCTCTGACTTTTATGAAATAGCGCTATATAAATGATGGTTTGTATGTATGTATGTAGCCTGGTTACTTTCACAGAGCAACATCGCTTTGTTTAAACCTACAAAGTGGCTTTAAATATTTCACCAAGAAGAATGTTACACAAGCTGGGAGTGAAATGTTATCATCCACTCATATAGGAGGCTTGCCATCCCAAATGTTAAACTGAATAGCACAAGAACGTGGCGGTATTATGTATTTTAGTACAGAGAAGCAGTAATAGTTTTACTCATTACTTTGGCAATAGTAAGTCAATTCCATTACATTAACCATCATTTTATAATGTGGAGAATATGAAAATATTCAAAGGTTATATTTTTGTTTTGGTCACTGATATTGGTTTTGGGATGGCAAACCTCATATTATATTATGAGCAAACCACATACAGAAACTTGATAGAGTAGACAGGCTAGATATTAACAGCAATCACAAAGCAACACATTAAAGCAAAATAAAACCAGTGTTTGTTATTACTAACCTCATACTGTAATTTCTGTTTACCAACAGGCATATTGAGGTCGTCCATTAACTTGGCCTTGATAACCGATACTGAGTCGGTCAGTGGTAACGTCATTGTAACTATTTGACCTGCAAGCTTCCATTCTGGCTTGTCTGGCACATTTGGCAACTGGACACGGAATGTAACTTGACCCTATTGGTGAGAAAGAGGGAAATAAAATTGAATCATATATTGCATTTTAGAAATTAATATCATTAAATCATTTTAATCTAAATATATAGTTCAACTAATGACTTTAAAAAAAAAAATGTTCTTCCAAAAGTTTTGCAGAAAAACATGTTTGTGGGACAAGCGTGCATTCCTGACCCTGTTCTCATTCGTCAGTCGTTAAGTTTTATTCAAACTCCAAAAAGGTCACTGGAACCTAAGTGCAATTCAAACATCGTAAACCACCAAGCTACACCGCCATCCAAGTAAAAATGAATAAACGTACAGGATTTGTGGCCAAGAACTGGTCTTCTGGTATCAGTGATTCTTCAGTCTTCTGTTTCTTAGCTGGTGGTTCATCCTGCATCATTCTGGCCTGTGGGGGCGGTGGTCCAGGTTGACGTACCATCTGCATCCCCATTGGTGGCTGTGGCATACCAACAGGACGACCTAGGGAGGTCAGGTTAAAAAACACTAAATTAAAAATTCTGAAACTTTATGGTAAACGTAGATTAAATAATTGAACTGAACTACACGTCTTTAATTATTGCAGTGTGTCACAAATGGATGGATAGATAATCTTACTTTTTTAAATGGAAATATGTGTATATGTACAATAAGTTGAACTGGTAGGTTAAATGGTTGTGGCTAAGACTGCCTAGCTCGAAGTTGGTGGTTTGAAACCAAGCTGTTTAAGTGCATATGTTTTTTGACACTTTTTCTACAGTGTTTGCCTCTATTCAGAAGTATAAATGGTTACAGTCGTGCACTGGCAAGGTAAACAGACTCACTGTACGAGAGGAGTGTTAAGCCCGCCTCCCCAAAGCATTGTACAATCTGGCCTACCAGCTATGGACAGGGAGTTAGGCCTTCAGGCTGGTAACCCTAGAGCGTATATTCATAATGTATACATTAATGAACGATCTATTTTTATACTAAATTTTTGATCTATTTGTCCTTTTTGCCATAAATTATTATGAAATTTTGTTGTCATTTTTGCACTTGTATAATTAATTTTGTATGCATTTGCCAATGGAAGATGAATTTCCTTTATTTGTATTTTATGACGAGGGCAATAAAGTTAAAGTTATCTAAATGAGAACCAAATTTATACTATATATTGTACTATTGTGTATATAAGGCTCCTCCATTACCAATGGAGGGTGCATCACCTCCTTTAAATATAATGTAAAAAAAATGTAAGAAGATAAATTCATATAGATTGTACCTTGCATAAATCCTTGTGGCCCTGAGGACGGAAGTAGTGTAGTCCTAGGCCTGACTGGCATTGCCATAACAGGTCTTGGTGGTGCCACTTGCATGAGTGGTGGTTGATTCAACAAAGGTGCTCCAGATCCCATCGGTTGCATTGGTGGCCTAGGACCACCCATCATGGGGGGCTTCGGAGGAGCTGGCAAAGGTGCTGGCACAGGCTTTGGCATATGCATCGACCTTGGGATATTCTGTACCGGATACTTTTGAAAAGGTTTGGCCGGTCCAATCTTCTCTTTCTCTGCATCAGGCCTGTGAAATTACAGAATAAAATTCAACTTTTAAACATCATCTTTTCTCTGTATTTACTACAAATAGTTACAAATTTTACCTGTAATTTTGTTATGACATCTTAAGAAATTATAGTAAGGAAATATACCAATTTATTAAGATTTGAACAGCATTTTGCCAGGTTTTAAGGTTTATCTCTCCTATAGTTGTGGAGCTAGGTTTAAGATTCTACTAGGAAGTTGAGATTTGTATACATATAATATATTTCCAGTACAAGTTAAATTAGGTGCCACTGCACTTCAATTTCCAATTTAAATGACATATAAATAATTATGAATATATACAATTACTTACAAGAAACCTTCTGCCTTTTGGTTGGCTGCTATTTGATCTCCAACTGTAATGTTTGCTTGTGCCTTCCTTGTAGTAGCCTCCATGCTGTATTGGTAGAAGTACAAATAAAAGACATTTCCATTAACTTTTTTTCAAGGTACAACTTTATCTTTATCAATGGTAATTAAAAGTAGCTCGCTACAACCATATTTAATATTTGAAAAACTCAAAAGGCCTTAAAGTGGGAAAAATATATATTGCAAAAAAACATTTCCTTAGATTTCATAATTAATGTGCAGGAAAGATAAAAACATGTCAACAACACTCAAAATGTGTAATTTGGGATTTGATAGCCCAAGGCTATAACACAATAATAATTGTTACTAGGCCTTATCATTATTTATTATTTATTATTATAATATAATATACATTACGGTACAATGGTAATGGATCATTTTTATTGTTTTCAAGTAATCATTATTATTTCAAAAACTGATCTGAGAATGCATTTTGACATGACATAATGTTAAAGGTCATACAACAAAATTGCTGAATACATGGAGCATACCTAGCAGAGTGTCCATCCCAAATGACCTTGTCCTTGTTCTGCTTATCATCTTCCTCTTCACCAAGCTATTAAATAATATTACAGAAAACTATTAATATAACAAAATATATTACCTAATATATTCAATAATATTAATAATCATTTCATATGAAAACTAGAATTTCTGCGTCACTCTCTTAAAAATTGTTACCATAAATCAATCAATATGTCACCAACCACTTCAATAATGCTAATAATAAATTAAATTTATTTCTAAATAATTTGATATGGAATAAATGATCAATAGTTTACTATTACATGAAATACATTCTTTGTTTTTTATTCTAATTTAAAAATCCACGAACCTTTTTACCAATTCCTGTCTCCACATCACCGACACCAAAAATATCTGTACGTCTCTCTGCAAGTTTTGTGAGATGATCCTTCATGGCATCACCCTGAGCGAACACATCGTGTTTATCTGTCTTCTCTTGCATTTGTCTGTCACGTTGCTCGATCCACCGTGGATCCAACATTCCTGAAAAATGAAAATGTTATTCATTTATAATTCAATTCTTAATACATTTACTTTCATCAGTAAAAAAAATTAAAGATTATAAATTTTCTTTTTAATTGCTATTATAGATAGTTGCATAAAAATAAAGCAGTAAAATAACAAACTCAACTAAGTCATGATATAAGACTAAAGCTTTGATTGAAGTTACTTTGACCAAGACAGACGGTAACTTTAAATTGGATAAATCTACATAGGCTTAAATAGGCAGAGAGCTGAGCTGAACAACTGATCAAAATCAACTAATAAAAACATCTTCTTTACTGTACAACACAAGTTGCACAGGTGATGCATGACTGCATATATGTGAACAGTTACAAAATGCATTTGGCAACATGTCAAAACATTTTTATAAGAAAACTCTACCATGCAGTTTTCAGATGTAGTTAAATTTTGTTAGATGATAAACATCTCATATCTTCAGACTTGAAAACTTTCATAATCATTTTCTTATAGTACTTTGTGTTGTTCTTCAGGGTTAAAAAAAGCTTGTATTTCTTACCAATCTTCATATGCTGTGCTAGCTTGTCTGCTGGAATCTTCTCTCGTGTGAGTGGCGATACCAACCATGATTCCTCACTGATATCAACTTGTTTAGGTGCTGTGAATATAAATTATAGGCATCGTAATAAGAAATATCAAAGGTAAAACAGGTAATAGATTTTATACAACTTGTTAACCTTTTACAACCTTGTGCACAATGAGAATTCCTGTCATCTGTACCCTCATGAATATGCCATGGATTTTGGCACTATGTATATGATTTTTGACAGAATAAATAGGTCATAATTCAAATTAAAAATCAATTAGTACTCATTTTTTACATATTCCCTAATAAATATACCTTTAGGATTATAATCCTTCCTGATTTCAACTTCTTCCGGTTGGGGTGGCAGTGGGGGCGGCATAGGTGTGGTCTCTCTAGGTAACGCTGGCATTGGTGCTGGCGGCATTGGTGGTATCATTGGCGGCGGAATTGGAATCGGAGGCTCCTCCTCATCACTGCTTTCCTCCATATCTGAATCCTGTTAAAACAAAATAAATTCATCATGTTTCAACTTTACACACATAAAATTCTAGTTAAGTATACTGTATTCCATACTCATTAAACAGCAAAGAAAGTACTTTGATACAAATATCTCCACTAGTGATATCACAAGAAAATCCATTATGAAACATATAGGTAATTTAAAGTACAGTAGAACCTCGATTTTACGTACGGTACGGGACCAGAGGGCGTACGTAAATCGGGGGATTCGTAAAATAGAGGTTGGGTTAAATTTGTGGTAACCTTTGACCTAGTAATACGTACGTAACGCTCAATACACGTATGTACGAACGAACGATGATACCTAGGCTAGACCTAGCCTCTAGGCCTACGAATAAAACCATGTGTTTAGTGTTTTTATTCATCACTTTACGATGTCATAATAAAGTGTTCAAATAAAACCATGTGTCTAGTGTATTAATTCATCACTTTATATCTTTTATTTAACTAAAATAAAGAACATGAAAATATTGTAAGATTACCTATACGACAAAGTTATAACTTGGGAATTCCCCTTCATGCCTATTCTAAACAACAGAGATGTGGTGTTGTCTGGGCCTGTTGAGACAAACTAAACCCATGTGCGCTGCACTGGGCGAGCCAACCAATTAGCGTTCGTGTACGTGAAACAGCAACCATGTGCTATGCACTGGGCGAGCCAACCAATTAGCGTTTGTGTACGAAACTATGTCTACTCAGCTTCGTGTAGAAAATTTCGACCAGACGAGTTCTTCCATGGTTTGCCACACGAAGCTAAGGAGGAAAGCTATAATTTTGAGCACCATCGGTAGTTGTTCATCTCACTCAGTTCACATGGTTTTAGATTATAACAACCCGGTATTAGACTCAATCAACGTTGCTGTTTAATGAAAATACGTTGCATTATGGTTTGTTTATTGTTATAGTTTATTGTTATATTCTTTTTACTTATGGTTGCTCTCAAAAGGGCAGTTTGTTTTGAATATTTTCGGGGTTTTTGATGACGTCATCGTCCATACGAGGCGTACGTAAAACAGAGGGTTCGTATAACTGGGGTACGTAAAAACGAGGTTCTACTGTAGTCATGTGACTTACTCCTTCATCCATGTCCTGAACCTCTGTGTTCTGGTCAGCTGGTTGTATCTTTTCTTTCGGTTTTTCAGCAACTTTGTGTTGCCTGCTTTCTTCTTTTTCCCCGTCCTCCTGCTCCTCTTCTTCTTCTTCACTCTCAACATCCATAACAACATCATCCTCTTCATGCAGAGTTTCCTGAAAAGGCATATAACATTTATTAACCATCTCAAATATAAATTATGAAACATCACATTATTACCTTACTCTCATATTACATCTTTAATAATACCATTAAACCTCAAATTGAAGCCCTGGGCTTCTTTTTTTGCGAACTTTGGATGGGATTCTTTTCGAAGCCACTTTTGTAAAATAAAGAGGGGGGGGGGGCTTCTTTTCAAAAGAAGTTAAGGCCCTAGGCCTATGCTTGAATTGCGCTGGGATTGCGACAAACACAGAATGGCTAAAAACTGTTACGGTTAGCTAAACGTAGGCTTACACAAATCGTTTGTGTGCGAAAACTTCCAATTAACCGGCATTAAATCACCTAAAATACTGTATAAACCAAGCATGTTATTAATTTATTTTGTTTCTTTGAAATTCATTTACAGTGTATGTACTGTACTACCTTGAAAAGAAGCCTATGCTATCTCAAAAAGAAGCCCATTGGCTTCTTTTCAAGGCTAATTTTGCAAACTGAAGAGAGGTTTTACGGTATTAATTGCTATTATTATTTCTAAATTATAACTAATTTATCATTTTTAATAAAAAAAAGTAATATTATAACTACTATTATTTGTGATAAGTATTAGTATTCTGAGTTTAATTAACTTCAATTTCTTTTAGCACTTATAATTTTTTAAGTATTAATAAACCAAATATTATTTATTATTAACACTGTAATTATATATCAATAGAGGTATGATATAATTTTAAATAGTAATTCTTATATTAATTATTAATAATCACCTTACCCCAAACTGCTCATATCGTTCTTCAGCAATGACCCTAGCCCCCACTTCTGATGGCTTGACTGGCGGAGGGAAGTGGCCAGGTTCATCAGGCTGGAAATCAACGGTTTCCACCACAACAAAATCATGCCAATCAATCTGTGCATATGCAACTGGAAAGTAAAATGAAGAAAATTTTAAAAAGCTATTCCTTAGATTTTTCACTCCTTAATGCATCCAGAATTTTTCTCCTTAAGCCATGCAAGTAGAATTTACAGGAAAAAATGATTGAGGGCAATGTCTCTAAGTACAGTTAGCGCCTTCTTTCGACAAACAAAAGTTATTACTGACCCATTAGCTTTTGCCAGATAGTTCATTCAAAATACAATATATTGGTAACGTGCCCATTCTACACGGTGTTTCACCTGTTCCATCACACTTTTGGGGTTTTCACCCTCCTTGCGCAGCTTTGCAAGCACATCTTTTGGAGGAATCAAAACCTTTATGGGAAAATTGAAAGAAGAAACCTCTTAAATAATCAATCAAATATAACTCTTAACAGCAGCTGTGTCTGAGCACAATGTAAAGCTCTAAAAAAAATAATAAGCAATGAAACAAACAATGAGAATAAATTAAAATTTATTTGATATTCTAAAATTAATGTCTACAGTATACTACATAGATAGTTCTGAAGAGAACTGATTGTTTTTGTTAGGAGTTTCTCAACATTTGCTTGCTTTGAACATCATCTGAAGAATAATAGCTGTATCTATATTATTTGATATAATGATGATGACTACAGCTGTGATGATGATGAATTCTTTGTATCCAGAAGAAAATTATAACAAAAAATATGGAGCTACTTCTTTGTACCTTGGTGTATTGTTCCACCAGCTTTGTGAAGTAGTTGAACATGCTGTGCTGAGGCCGTAAGAAGTCAAACAAATAGTTCCTCTGTTCCTTGTTCATCAATGTTGTCAAGAATTGTCGTCCATTACGTGCCACGAACTGAGCTGTCAGTTTCACTATGTCACTTAAACAGAAATATACAAGCATTAGTTTATTTTATATGAAAGCTCCTCTGATATATCCAGTGGCTTCCAAACACAATCAAACATTTGCCTGTTAGACTTAATATTGTCTGATTAAACAAGATAGTGTATGTTCAGTTGTTATTACATTCAATGACTCCGTCATACCACTGGTCAACCATCTGTGCTCAGTACAAAATGTTAGAAATGTATCCTAGATGAGGCTGCAAACACCTACAAATTAAACTGTGACTTAGTAATGAAAAGTTTTCTATAGCTTCTGCACAACTGCAGTAGACTATTAGACAAAGAAATAATCTTGTGAAACAGCTATATCTTTCAAGGTCTTTACAAACACACATCTTTTAATTCTAAAATTATCCATCTTAAAACTGATCACACATATTTTTATATTCACATTGATGTTGAAAATAGATTTTGACATAGGCATTTGGTTATGATCAGCCATTTTTAACATTAAAACTTGCAGTCCTCTTTTTTTATAATTAATTATTAATCCTAATTAGTTTGAAAAGAGATATTTTTTGTTAATTAATGCTTCGTTAGAAAATGTTTGAATGTACAGTCATCATTAGGTTTTACTTACAGCTCAAAAGCTGAAATTGAAGGTGGATCAGCAATAAACTCCCATTCTGGTGGTGATTCCTTGGGAACTGCAGGCTCAACTACTTGCTGCACTGTCTTGGACAAAATTGGTGCAATCTGCAAAAAAAAAACAAAAAAAAACAAAAAACATTTTTTAAAATGAAAATACTGAAAAGACAACCCATAACCCAATACCAAGTATTAAAGTTGAATATTAATGATCATGTTTATATGCTGTAGATTTAATCCTGATTCTTATATTGATATTACATGGAAACTTAGCTCAATCAAATTATACATTTATGTTCAACATTCATGTGTATCTCTTTGAATACTTTCCAGGGACTGGAGGCGTTTCCAACCACCAGGCCAATGTGTGAAGTTATGATGCACTAAGCAATGCTAAACGTCAATGAATTAACTCTAAACAGCAGTAGTTAAACTTTCCTAAAGTTGATTTTCCTAAACTTGGATAATTTCTAAGCCGATCTTATTTTAAATGTCAAATTGTTATTTTCCATTAACTAACAATCTGCGCTGTAAGTCAAATTTTATCTACGCCGAACAATTTTTCAATGAAATTTTGAATTTGACTTTGGCAAGTTCAACTTAAGAGTAATTCATAAAATCTGATTTAATTTTACTGTAGATTATAACATGACACTCAAACAGTAAATTCTTTCAGGCTTTTTAAGGCTGATGTATCAATACTTACTGCACATTATTAACTTCAAATTTAAGTAGCATCACTGTCTATTCACGGTATGATTCCTAAAACCGAAACAAAGGACATGTTGTTTCTTTTTGCTTCTCACCTTTGTAATAATGCCTGTTTGTTCTGAAGGTTTTCCCTCCTGGAATTCCTTAACCTTATGCTGATAGTAGGCATGGTATGGATCACCATGGTTGAGGAAGTTGAATTTTGCATTTGAGATTTCATTCTGACGAATACGTGATTCAAACTCTGGGCCTACATAACAGAAAACAAAACACTGTTAAAAGGATTTTTTTTAACAAATTAGGCTTAAGCATCTATATTTATATCATCCATGTTTATTGCCTAAAAGTCCATAACATTCAATTCAACATTCACAACTACTAAGAAGTAACCAAAATAAATTTAAACAAAAAAACAATCTTCATTACACAAACAATTTTTGCAGGTATCTTCAGTAGTAATATAATGCTCTGACTTTATAAAAACTTATTAAATTACACTTACCATTCCTTGCTACAAAACTTGCAGTCTTGTCAACAATATCTATGAAATTCATGTTTAAGAAAGACAACTTGGACATTAAAAATAAATACAGTACAGTGTTGTAATAACATTGAACAAACTACCAAATCAAGATGTGCTGAACTGCACATTAGTATTATACCTAACACAGAACTAGCAATCTGCAGAATAGGTAATTATTTTTATGTTAGTTGCACACAGTAAAAATATAAGGGTACATGAAGCTGTGCACACAATATTTTGTTAAAAATTAACTACAAATATAGATTAGGCCCTATCATACAGTTGGTAGAAAGTAGTGTTTCCCTACAATAAAAAATTACTTTAGTTGGTACCAAGGTGACTGAGTGCAAAACTGGTTTAACATTATATTTCTACATTTGAACATTATGTCTAAGCATTGGTAAACATTCATTCATAAATTTACTCTGTCAGATTTTGCTGGTTGTACCCGAATTTGATGAACAATGTCACATGAAATCGTGGCCTTTCTACATAGAAACAAGTACACAGTGAGCTTAGTCTAAAATATGTCAGCATTGTAGTAAAATAAAATGTCTAAAATAAAAAGCTAACCAACATTAAACTTTATCTCATCCAACACATCTCATCCAAGATGATTTGATGACAGTAAGCAGAAAAGTTTACTACAATCCGCTCAAAATTTAATTATTTAGTTAGGCCCTGATTGCACTGAGCAGATACTGTAGGCATAGAATCGTAATTCCGTGTAGGTTGTAGTTTAGAGATAGTTTTCTAAAAAATTCAGATATTTTCAAAATGCCAAGTCCAATTTGGAGGGCGAAATTTTTGGGTGTAGAAAAAATTTTCTGTCCGAGCAGACCGTACATTACTAGTCATTCCTGGCTTGTCAACAATCATTCATATATATTCATAGTTTCTGTTGCTGTAAGTGGTAAGGCTTGGATTATTTATTTATTTCTTGTTTAACCTGGGTTAACAACTCAGTTGAAAAACAACTGTTATCCTTATGTGGCCAGGATTAGTGTTAAAGCAGGAGCCACACACTACAGCAGTGGATGAATCCATCTGTGAGTGCTTGACAAATGCAATGTTAGTTGTGTTGATTGCCGGTGGTAATCATTCAAAATGTTGCATTGCACATGCTTTGTTGTGTTGTGCTCTCACTGGCCAGTCAGTGGAATCCTGTATAGCTGGAGACCATCATCACCACACAGTGTATGCCTGACCTACTGTTAACTTAACATAGGCTTAGCCCAAAAAGCATGACACAAACAAAACACCAAAAACAGTAGGCTTAGGCTAATCATCTCACAAGAAGTACTTTATTAATATTATATATTTACTATTTTAAAATTCTGTTTATAAAATACAAAATATAGCAAAACCATCTTACAAGAAAAAGTATAAATTTTATATGAATTATAATTATATATCCCGAAACTAAGGGCAGAAGTACATAATTTAATTAGGCTAAGAATTATAGATGTAGACTCACAAGGCCTAGGCCTTTATTTGAAGCGACTAGGCTAGTAGAAAAGGATACTTCGCACCTCTGGTGGCGGGTAGATGATGCCGACCATCGGCTTACTTGTTTGTTGAACCTCGCTTCCTTCTTCTTCATCTTGTTGTTGGGTCTCCTGAACTGAAGACGTGACTTCGACAGGCATATTTAGTATATGGAACCGAATATATAGTTTAATAACAGAAAGAGAAACAACCTATCATGTAAAACGTACCTTTTAATTACTTTTTAGCTGTAAATTTTGTAAAGGTTCAACCTCCAGCCTCCACACCGCCCAGGACGAAAACGCATCCTCTACAAAGATTCATTTGTTGTAAAATCTCTCCCCACCGAAACTGCACAGCAGTGAGAGGGCAGCAAACTGAAAGAGTGCAGCAGTGGCCTAACAGTACTGACTTGAATTTATCGCAAACCGACATCTAAAAATCTTCAATAGTAATCACAATATTAGTTAATAGAGTATTGTATTTTTTAATAATTAATTAAAATCATATTGCATAAAATAACCATAGTCTTTGGAAAATAGCACCAGATATAAAAATAAATCCTCATTACAGGCATACTTTAAAAGTCAAAAAATAGACAAGAAGGCACTCGACACTGAGAGGGAGACAGGTGGTACTCCAAAGACTAAAATTTGAAACATCTCTATTAAAAAAAAAAAAAAAAAAAAAAGAACAAGTATCATGTTGAAGATGAATTCCGTTTTACTACTAATAATAATGGCATCTTGTAAGGCGCACATATCCGTCTCAGAGAGCTGCTCGCTTAATTACTAGAAGCTGTCCTTTCATTATATTTTTACTTTTCTGAACTTCAATTTATTCAACACTGTAAAGGTCAGGGGTGGCGCCAGCGGAGGAGCGGGGAGCCCCAGGGGGGAGGGGCATCATTTCCTTATTGGGTTTTATGCCTCCCTGCTATTTTCAATTATTTTTGTGCCACCATTTTTGAGATATATCGCACACAAAAAAACCACACGAAAACACCAAAACGTTTCACACATACACGCACAAACTTACACGACTGAAAACATATATCTCCTGGCGCAGATAATAATAATAATAATAATAATAATAATAATAATAATAATAATAATTAATAATTAATAATAATAATAATAATGATAATGATGATGATGATGATGATATAATAATAATATTAATAATAATAACAATAATAATAATAATAATAATAATAATAATTTGTAATAATAATATAGTTTGTCATAGTTTAAGTGCTTTGTAACAATTTTAATGTTTCTGTTAATTGTTTATGTTTCTCCGGTTTATACTTGCACTGGAGAGCTCCAGACAGATGGAGATACCCTCTTTTCAGCAGTCCTTCCAGATACTGCTGAGTCATTTTGTTTTGTTTTGTTTTTGTTTGTGCACGGAGTTTGTTTTTATGTTCGTTTTTGAAAATTTGAAATAGTGAAATGATGTGATATGATGATGAACTGCGGTAATTCCGTGAGCTATTTTGCCCAATGTCCATTGAACTCATTTAACAATACATTATCAACATAACCTCGAAACAATTCAGTTTTTGATTAACATTTACAGCGCTGTACTAAAAAAAGTAAAGGTATTCAAAATAAAAATATTCATTATTAATAGTTCATCTGCATCTTAATGACACGTTTTTAGTAAACAGTACGAATTAGAGTCAGAATCAAGATGTAATGATGAAATTCACAATGTGATATGGCTCACATATAATATTAAAAATAGGCTCCCAGCGGGAGCGTGTGTCTGCCCCAAATACAAATAAAGCATCTACACGGGGATTCAGTAATCAGGAAATGTGTGGTGTTGTTACTGTAGAGTAGTGACTTTTTAGTGAACTTTTTCTAGGACAAGTCTTATATATTTTTCTGTGTTCTTGTCAATTCAGTATGGCATCATATTTCGTAGAATTGCTTTTTATCTTTACCTCATGACTCACACCAGCATTCCTCCATACCGGATTTACTCAGTTCTACAGGGTTAAATGCTAGATGATAAAAAG